TCCTAGATGGAAATTTTGTGAGGAACCTGGTGTATCATCAAGAGGAAATATGTTGAAATCGATACTAGCATCTGGTTTGGTGCGGAAGTTATGGTGGAGTACTCTTGGACTGCAATTTGACTGGTCCAAGGTGATTGCTAATTTCATATTGTTCTTTTTCAGTTTTTATCTCAAATTGAGTACTATGGCCTTTATTTCTTTCAATACTAGCAACCCATTTGGACCATGATTGGTATTGCTTCAAGCTATGAGGTCACCACTGTGAATTTCTATATCGTTTGATGTGTATTGAACTTTCATAAGATATTTGCACCAACTATCTGTTTTGACCTGTGTCCCGTGTAAGTTTTTTCATCAATTGGCTTGAATTACAATTCTAGTACATATGTCATATTGTACATCTTTGTTTAATTAGCATGAACACCGGTCATCAATTTATTTTGAACATTGTTTCATTGTAGTTCTGTGAGATACACTCGTCAGTAATATCTGAAGTAACTTTCTTACATGTTTGTACAGCGGAATTACAATGTATCTCTTCTACACAACAAGATCCCCGATGCTCTTTGCCAATTGGCTAAAAAGATGGCAGCACCTGCAATGCCAGGTGGGGAAGAATTTCGCCCAGAAGCTGCAATAGTGAATTACTTCGGGTTAGGTACTCTTTAGTCATAGCTATCTTTTGAATGTTGTGTTTGGGTTTAAAGTAGATTAGTTGAATTTGTGTATTTGTGTAGTTAATTTTTTTTCTTGAGAATTTAGTTATTGAGATGTTAGAAGGAAAGAGCTCATAAACTCAACAAGCCTAATTATTTAGTAAAAAATGTTTGTGCACTGCTCATGCCAGGTGATACACTTGGGGGCCACCTTGATGACATGGAAGCGGATTGGACTAAACCTATTGTTAGCATCGGGTATCATGCTATTCATTATACGCTCACATTCACACACATGCACACACTTCCAATAGAAAGAGCTAAAGACATTATATTGGGCCTTGAAATTTCTATTTTCTTTCAGTTTGGGCTGTAAAGCTGTTTTCCTTCTTGGAGGGAAGTCTAGGCAGGATCCGTCAGTGGCAATGTTCCTTCGAAGTGGTGATATTGTGCTAATGGCTGTTATTGTGGCAATATAGTAATATTCTACATATTTATTAATCTGAGGTGAATTGTGTCATCATGTTATTAATGTCATCAGGGAGCTGTCTTTTCTATTTCATTCTCAGAGGATAGCCCCTTCTTGCTAGCTATAGGAGGCTCCAAGGGAAAATTAGAAGTGAGTGGATATAACTTTTTATGCTTCATGCTTTTGCAATTCTCTCTCTATTTTCCCCTCTGAATGTTATGTGCAACGGAACAGAAGTAACTTTTTTTTGGCTCATATATGCAGGTGTGGGATACACTATTTGATGTTAGGGTCTCTCGAAGATATGGGAAATATAGTAATCGGAACATATCTTAATCTTTGGTTCTTGGTATTTTCTTTCCTTTCTTTTTTTTTTAGAAAAAATAGAAGAAAAAAAAGATGTTGTGGTCGGGGTCATAGCCCCAATCCCTCCCTAGGAGGATTTGGCGTGATTGGCCCATGGCTCTTGCTACCAAAGGCCTAAAGCAAAAGCAGTCATTGTGGAAGTAATAGAGCATGTGCTTAATTCATACATTCATCTTAAAATTAAAATATGTCCTCAAGGTTGTCGCCACACTTGGGCTGTCAAAATAGTTTATATACACGGGCCCTATGTCGATAACACTAGTGTTGACATAAGGACTCAGCATAAACTTTCAAAAGCAAGGATCACAAAGGATTTCCACCTAGGTTCATTGGCCTCTAAGGTTTCCATGTTTGCACTCATCACCTGTAATCACATAGCAAAAAGGGGGAAAGCTAACTAGCTTAGTCAGCAACCTAACTGAAAGAAGTTTTAAAACCATGGATATCAAAAATCCGTTATTTGAAAAGCAATAATGTACTCAAATCATGATAATATCAAGAGCATGTAATTTCCAAAAGGTACAAAAATATAGTAAAAGTAAATGTCAGTAGCTTTCACCAATCTCCTGACATGGTACGTGTATTAGAATTAGTATAGGAGTTTGCAATACATATATCCTTTCAATATCAGATAGACTCCAAGTGGAGGCCTATGCAGTGGTAAACAGAGGGAAATATAACATTACATAAAGAGATTGAAGAAGTGGCTCGTATAGATTTTAGAGGTAGCTCCCACTATGCATTTCAATGCATTGTAGTGCTTAGTTTTGGAAAACTCTTGTATCTGTAATTGAAGAGTGACTGAAAGAAAAGTTATGTCATCCTTCATTCTTAATAAGATTAAGTTTTTAATGCTTTACCTTATTCTTTCTGTTGAGAATGTAGACAAATATGTTTTGGAATTCGAAGGTGTTCACAGTCTGACACCTTGTATCTGTTTCGGCACTTGTATCTGTATCCACAAATTATAGCTAACGGTTCTTTTTTTCAGGATTCAAGTCACCTATTTTACTGTGGCAAAACTTCATTTGTTTATAATTTTTATGACCTTGCTATAGTTGATTTTCAGGTTCAAGCTGTCGCATTGAATCATCATGTGCCACAAGTTCTACTTAGTGGAACCTTTGATCATACAGTAGTCATGGTAATGAAAATGTTTTATTGGGTCTGTTTATTAATTATAAACTTCAAAATTATTCACCTTGCTTGGTTTCCAGTTTTCCAAAACACTTTTCAGAAAATTCTACTTTCTTATTTTCCGTGTTTTTTTGTTTTTACTGAATTTTTTTAATATTTTAAGCAATTTTTTTACTTTTTAGACACACCTAACATAAATACACCTAAAAAGTAAAAAAAAAATTATAAAAAAAATCTTTTAAAAATTCACTAAATACCAAAAATACAAGAATTCAGTACATTTTTTATATTTTTATGTATTTATTAATTTTTTAAAATATTTTTTCACAAATTTTTTACTTTTTAGATACATCTAAGTCAGGTGCATCTAAAAAAGTAAAAAAATGTTTAAAATTTAAAAAATATTCACTAAAAACAAAAAAACACAAAAACTAAAAAAGTCAATTTTCAAAAAATTTAATCCAGAAAACTCAAACCAAACACAGTGATTGTTTTCCTGCATTTTGCTCCTTTTTTTTACCTTTTTTTTTTGTGTGCGCTCGTGCATTCACTTTGCTAAGTTGCCTTTCCTCAGCATTATTTTGATTAAATTTATGTTTATGTGATTGCAGAAGGATGGAAGGATACCTTCTCATACAAGATTTATCAGTTTCAGCAGATGTTGAAACTGTAGCATGGGATCCACACACTGAGCATTCATTTGTGGTCAGTCTTGAAGATGGTACAGTTGAAGGTTTTGATATCCGAGCTGCTAAGTCTGATCATATTCTGAAATGCTCATTACATTATGCAATTGAGTGAATGTATTAAAGACAATAAATAAGAATTTTGAGACAAAAAATTCGTCATCATGTATATAACTGGCCATAACTCTAAATTATATTAAATGCCAAAATTCCCATATTATCTATCAAAACAGAATCATTCATAAGTAGTTCAGGGACTTCAAACCCAAACCACCTTCATTGTGGTTTCTTGATCATCAGGAATGCAATAGTTGCTCTCTTTTGACCAAGACCAAACCAGCTATAATTTGGTGTTCTTGCTCCATCTCCTGGTAAGTTTTACCTGGTCTTTTGTGTTGTTAGGTTAGGATTCCCCTTTCATCATGCATGTTCAATATTCTAGCCCTTTGAAATTCGAAATAACTTAAAAGTATATTAGAGTTATGGCTGGTGATTCATACTGCTGGTGTCCACTTGCAACTCATTGATGAACTAACTTATTGTGATATATTTCCCTGCAATGCATTGTAGCTACAATAATCAATCATAGCCATGCATGAAAGTAGAATAACATAGTCATAGAAATTGATTACTCATGAAAGTAGAATAACATAGTCATAGAATTTCTCAAACCTCTTATAAATTATTTGCCTTCGGATAAAAACCCAAGAGACCAGAAAAAAGTAGTTTTGGTGAATCAATTGGCTTGCAGTTGGTGAATGTGGGATATGAAGTTTGTGCAGATGGCCCCACACAAGTGTTGCGGTTTTTAATAAGTTACCAGTCCTTTCTAGTAATATTAATTTTTATAAAGATGCCTTGGCTTGTGATATCCTCTTGAATCACAATTGTGAAAATCTCCTCTGTAAATACTATTGATATTCTTGGTGTGAAGCAGAGTTCTTGATATTATGTGGAGAGATGCAAAAAAAGATCCCGCAACTGATCCGAATGCATCGCGTGCTAGGCTTTTAATTAATCAAGTTCGATTGCTTCTTATGTTCATTTAATTCTTATGGTGTTTAATTCATGTATAAGATATCGTACTGAAAATAGATGCATTGAACTTGTCAAAGCCACAATAATTCTCTACCACTCTTTATTGATCTATCCCTTTGTTGTATGATTTGTGATATGTTCCTGTGATTATCTGGTATACAAAATGATCTGAGCCATTGCTGCTAAAGTGTTGTCTTTTATTGTGGTCTGGTATACAAAGCACAAGACTGCTGTTGTGGATAAGCCTGCTGTTTCTGCTGTGAGATGCTCCAGTGTGTTCTGGTATACAAGGAAGAAGACTTCTAAGGATAAAAGGCTGCTGGGTGTTGGTTGTTTAATTTGCTGTGTATTTCTAAGGTTGTTTGATAAGGCTGCTGCCTAAAGGAAAAGTTGGTGCATTATGTATTATCTTAGAGACACCATACCTATAAAGATTGTCACAACTCCATGATGTTTGGTGTTGTGGGGCTGTTGCTCAGTGGTAATTTTGGATTGAGTAGGGCTACTGGTGCTTCTGACGCTGGTTTTTTGGGCTAATCTTGAAGTGCAGTTGCTGTGGTTGGTTTGAGGTTGGTGATCTTTGGGGTAGTTTTTGGTCTGTTTATTGCTGTTTTGAGCTGTCAACTAGTTTGGTCTGTTTATTTCACTATTTGGTCTGTATCAGGTTTGGTTAGCTTTTTCTTGGGTGAGGTTGTTTTTGGTGTTTGTGGTTATTACTTTTGGTTGTTTATTGCTGTTTGCAGGTATATATATATATGTTCAATGATTACTTTGTATTTGATAGACCATGGTCTTGTTGGGTATACAAAACTTGTGCACAGAAGCTGTTTGAGGATATGTCAAAGAGACTAATACTTCATTGGCTCTAAGATTTGACATAGATATAAATTTTGATGTGGTATATGATTTGTTTGTTAGTAATTCTCCATATGACATAGATAAATTTATTTTATTTTAATACCGCCTCACCTGTAATAGATTTAAAAAAATTAATTTGAGTCTTAACTCCCCTGCTCTAAAACATATAATATCTCCCGCAAAAAAATGCTAGTCATTGAGTCTTAACTCCCCTGCATCTTGTGGGGTCAGGGCCATCAGGTTGCAATTATCCAGTTAATTTGATTATCATTATTCATCAATCTATAGACTGATTGGGTTGCTCTAGTCTTCAAAGCTTACCAAAATACAATTGTTAGATGATGATGGGTTGAATCAATAGCAAACCTAACCCTCCCTCTCTTGTGCTCAAGGAATTTTATCAGTATCTATTTCATTTCTTACCTTTGCCTAATAGAGAATTTGTTTCTTCTCAATTTCTTTGTGCACATTCTGATGACATTTTAAGTAAATCTTCTGACATGGATTTAATTTTAACAATCTTGTTTGGATTTTGTAAACACACAGCACCAGTTCAATGCAAGGGAGAGTGATTGGGGCTTCACATCTTTTATGCCTCTAAGTGAACTTTATGATCCCTCTAGAGGGTTTCTTGCGAATGATACATGTGTTACATATAGATTTAGGTGAAAACATGCATTGAATAATTTATCTAGTGGGCAATGTGAGTGAAATAACTTGAATCATTCATCCTAATTATGTATCCTAATTATGGGTTGCACTAGGTGTCCACTCATTCAATGGGGATGCGAAATATGAATTTGTAATTATAATTCTATCTTCTTTGGGATATAATTTGCAAACATAGGTCCTCTCCTATTAGCAAACATAGTTTCCTCCAAAACAGTGACACCCAGATCATATGAAGCTTACAAGATTTAGTTTGGTTGCTTACAGTGATGGTTCTTTATGATGTTGACAAAGTTTCCAAGAACATTCAGCACTTGATAAAATGGATCATGGACTGTTATACAGATTCATGTAAACTCATACTCTGCTGTGAAGATGATGTGGACATTCTTGAAGAGTCAATTGATGTTTTCAGAAAATTTTAATCTCATTTCTTATGGGTTCCTAACATGGTTGGGATTGGTATCTTGATTCTTTTAATCAAAAATAATTCATAGAATTGTTAACAGGAATCCAAATACTACAAATATATAGAAATATAGATATATTGAGGGATTTTGTTGTTCTATCCTAGCACATAAAAAATTTAATGTTTTATCCTAATTATGTATGCTTAATTTACATTGTAGGTTGGTGATTGGTTTGGAACCAATTTGCCTTTAGTTAAGTTTTTTGTAATCTTGTTCAGTAGATCAGTAAATTCTGTCACTAGGGTTCATTTTGCTTCCATTATATGTGAGGTGCACTTGATTAGAGGCCTATTGATGCAGGATGACTTTAGGAAACTTGGGTTAATGCTGCCTACAATAAGTATTGTTATGGGTTTTAGTTATGGAAAGTTTCTAGGATTTGGGTTCTAAGAGGTAAAAGAAAGATTTATGTGTTTATAAGAAAGAGGGAGTTAAAATGGAATAAAAAAATGGATTCTCTAGTGTTTACATATACACAAAAGAAGATGGGCAGATCTGTCTATTATAACCCATGTATCTGGTTTTTTTTTTTTTTTTTAATGTCCTGTAATATTTGTTCACTTTGAAAAATGATACCAATTTTATATCGTTTATAAATTGTCCTTTTCTACATTGAAGTACAATGAAGTATTACCGAAATTCAAGGACCTAGGTAAGTAAGTGTGAATGGAACTAATGATATTCTCCCTAGCTGTGCAGGCAATGAGGGGCGTGAATATGTCCTAAGGCATATTCTTCGTCGAGCTGTACGATATGGAACTGAAGTCCTAAAAGCTCAACCTGGATTCTTCAATGGGTAGGAATGAAAAACTAGCCTGCAATGTTTGTTAATTATTGTTCCTAATTGCTGCAATGTATTGTAGTTCTACTTTATATGGTGCCATGTTTAACTTTACATTTATTATCCCTAATTGCTGTATTTTTAAGATTACGTATGTTGTTCCTAATTGATATATATATCATCTCTTCAAGAGGTTGCTTAATAATTGTGTGGAAATCAGGCTTGTAAAGGTAGTGGTGCAAGTGATGGGTGACATATTTCCAGAGCTAAGACACCATGAAGTGCATATCAGGGACATAATTGAGTTTAACCGAAGAGTGAATTTGCTTCCATTTAAGCCTTTGTTTGATGTTGGCTTGGACGTTCGTGTTTGTGGAACATTTCTGAAAGAGTTTGTAGGTACTAAATAGTTATTGACTTGAATATGCCTCGTACTGCACTACGGTTATATATTTTCATCTTTATTTTAAATGGAATTCAATTATTGTTTGATGATTTAGTGAAGTTACAAGAAAGGAAATTTGTTAATTATTGTTCCTAAGCCTTTTTTTTTTTAAATGTTATTGTTCCTTAATTGTGGTTGGGTTGAATGAATTTTATTTGATATTGGATTGAATGTTTATAAACAAAAATTGATTGTTCTCAAAAACAAAAGAAAAAAAAAAAAGAAAGAAGAGATTTGGCGACTAAAAAATTGGTCAGCAAATTCTACACTTTTGCGACTAAAATCATTGGTCGGTAATTCATTATCTTTTGGCGACTAAATTGTTAGTCGGCAATTCCTCGACTTTTGCTAACTAATCTGTTTGGTCATGGAATGTGACAATTGGCGACTAAGATATTTGATCGGGAAAATATCACTTTTCGCGACAAAAGTGTTTTAGCGACAAAATGGATTAGTCGCAGTAATTATATATTTAGCGACCAAAAATTTAGTCGGCAAATCCAATTTTTCCCGACCAACAAAAATTTTGGTTGCGAATTTCTTTTGTCGACCCTTAATTGGCGACCAAAGTAGCAACTAACAAAAATTAGTCGCGGATAGCTTTTGCCGACTAAAAATGGGCTTTTAGCAACCAATTTTTTGGTCAGTAAAGGTGTTATTTCTTGTAGTGAAGGGTGTGCTAAAAAACTAGACATCCCGCACCCACTCAGTTTGTGTGGTTTGATAAGGTGAGTGAGTTGGGTTGGACTGAATGAATGATAAAATTGACTGATCAATTAGGAATAAAAATATAGTAGAGACTCATACAAAATTATATGGAATTAATAAATTTTAACCAGCAGCCTAACTGATCAGTTAATTTTATCACCTAACTAGTCCAACCTAGGCTGAGTTGGTGCGGGATGTCCACCATTCCAAAAAAAAAAAAAAAAAAAAAAAAACCCCAAAAAACTAAGTGAAGCCCAAAAAAAGAAAAGGAAGAGAGAGGAATTGTTGAGCCTCGACAATTTGAGGCCCCTAGCACTGCCTTTTTGAAAATATATTATACACGATGCATGATAAGTGCTTGCTTGTCCTTTATACAATCAAAATTAGGCTTTGTTTGGAAAGTGGCTATTTTTTTGGCGTTTTAACTATTTGACTATTTTAATAGGCAATTTTAGTTTTTGTATTTGAAAAATTGGGTTGATTTTTTTGGTTTGATTGTGGTAGTGAAAAATGTGTTTGAAATGATATTTGAGGCTAAAATGACAAATTTGCTCTTAACCTAAGACATTCACGTTTTTCCAAAATTAGTCTACAGGGGCAAAATTGTCATTTACTACCTGTGGTGGCAGACTGTCAACCACATGACAGTGGCTTAGGCTACTATTTGAGGCCTTAGTCTATTATTTTAGGCTATTTGACCTTTTTGGGTATTTGAGGCTATTTTACCTCCAAGTTCCCAAATAACTCCTTAGTGTCATTTTTCCATAAAGTTCTATGGTGATGAACTTTTTCCAGCAAGGTAGTGACTTCCCTCCAGTCTTGAGATCCCAAGTTCCATTCTTTCCCGGGTTAGCCATTTGGATGATAGCACATACAGTTGATAGGACAAACCTTCCAAGCTAGGGTAAACTGCACTTAGTGTCAGGAATGTAGGTTTGAATCCTCGCTTATGTGCAAATCCGCGACTTACCGCTATATGGTTAAGTGGCCCTGCTTTGTAGCACCACCTAAAGGTGATCTCTGAGGCCTCGACTTCTTAGGGTTTAGCCCCAGAAGTCACCCCTTTGTGGTTAGGCTTTTGTCCCTCCAGTCTGGAATTGGATTTGAGCGTGTTGTTAGTCTTCTATGGACCCATCATGAGTCACAGATCGATAATTCGAACCGTTCAATATGTAGAACTCTTCGATTACTTCATTTTTACAAAAAATCAAGTTGATCAGATATCGATAGTCATTTGGTCAAATAAAATTTGTGTCAACGGTAATTATGATTTTAAAAATAAATTGTTTACACAAATGTGATCTGATTAAGTAGCTATTGATATCTGATTAACATGATTTTTTACAGAGACAAAATACTCGACGAGCCTTACGCATTGAACAGTTTGGATTATCAAGACGAATCCAAAATGGGCCCACAATGAACTGGATTGGATCGTCCAGTTGTCTAGTCCAACTAGAGACAGCCCAGTCCAATTAGAGACACTCCTAGTCCTTACAGGAAATCCCAATTAACAAAGCCTTCGTTTGGGATGTTGGCTATTTTAGTTGACTTTTTTACTATACTTCTTTTATGAGAAGAAAAAAAGGTTTGTTTGGGATGATTTGTAAATTTTTTTGTAATTGAATAAATGGTTGTGAGAAAAAGTGATTGATTAATGTGTATGATGTGATATTTTATTTTATTGACTATTTTAACTTTTGTCCATCTTTATTGACTATTTTAACTAAAAAAAAGTTGATAACATCCTTTTCGGTACTATTCTTACGAACAAACAAACCAATGTGACATAATAATAAAATTTTAAAATTTGAAACAAAACTCATGGAAATAATGTGATACAAATTTTGGAATGTGTAAATAATTTGAATTTGAATTTGAATTTTTTATTTTTTTTGACATTTTCCTCCGATTATTAACCTTTATTTATTTATTTATTTATTTTGGTAACCTTTTAAAATTTATTCATTATTTGCTAAAATAATAAAAACTATTTGATCCTATTTCATAGAAAAATTCGCTGGTATGCAATGCACACCATATGCATTCATATCTCAAAATTACGTAAATTTTTACGAACTTATATAAGTGATCTTATATAATTTTCTAAAAATTTACGTAATTTTATGACGAGTTTGTATACATAACATTACTCTTTTTTCTTTTTTTTTTTCCCCATAACTCTAAAGATTGTTCTTGTGTTTGGCAGCAGCATTTCAATGTCATGTATTCTTTTCTTTTTTTTTAATCAATAATTATATGGCAGGTAACAATTGGATTACATTAAAATAAAAGCTCTTGCACCAAATGAAAAAATATATATTATAAAACACAGTGAAAAACAAGGTCATATAAATAGTTTATGTTAAAATTAAACAAATTTCTAAATCTAACGTGTACGATTATTTATCATTGTTTTTTAATGGTTAAAATATAATTATTTGTCATTATTGCTGAGGATACATTAATTTATTTGTCATGACTTCGTCAAGAAATTAATAAAGAAAGTCCAAAGATGATAAAGAGAAGTGTACAAAACAACTACTCCCTTCCTTTTGGATTGGTGACCCTTTTTCCTTTTACCCCACTCGCTGTGTCGCTGTTATTGATTGGTTCCAATTAAACACCAACTTGGCTTCAAAAATGGCACACTTGCTTTTGATTTTCATGCTTTCTCTTTTGATAATTGCTTGTTCATCTAAGCTCGTACTCGATCACACTGTGGTTGAATCTCTCCCAGGATTTGAAGGACCCCTTCCCTTTGAACTCGAAACCGGGTGGGTGGGTCAACTCAGTATATTTCATTCATATAGTATTCTTTTTCTGTCTTTCTTTGTGCATGAATATATAGTGGATTAATGTTATGTATTGTGTATACATGTATGTGTCAGGTATGTGGGTGTGGATAAATTAGAGGATGTACAGCTTTTTTACTACTTTGTTAAGTCTGAATCCAACCCCAAAGAGGACCCTCTGGTTCTTTGGTTGACCGGAGGCCCAGGCTGCTCTGCTTTCTCTGGTTTCGTTTATGAAATAGGTAAATCTTTCATTTCCAACTTCACTTTTTCTCTTTCCTCAAATCCTTGTATTGTATTGGGGAATTACGTATAGATAGGAATTGAGGAAAAAAATTACAAACACATGAGGGTGTAAGTGTATCCGTGGTGGGGTGGGTGCAAATCAAAGGCTGTAAGGGTAGAAGTGTCACATAATTTTTTTTCCCAACTTTCACCTATTGTATTTCCCCTTTCCAAAACAACAGTGATGATCGATTTGGGTTTTACTTGTTTACGGAATGATGAACCGCAAAGCACCTGTATTATTATGGCACCCACCCACCCAACAATACTCTGCATATCAGTATTTAGATTGACAGTCATATCATATGACCTCAAAAATTAGATAACAACTTTCCTTCACACATCTCTAACCTCAAAAATTAGATAACAACTTTCCTTCACACATCTCTAACGTTTCCTCAAATGCTTTATTATATTTAAATTTAATATATATATATATTTTTTTTTGGCTCCAACCATGACATTAAACACAAATCAAAGAAAGGCGAGACCAAATTTTTAATCAAATAAAGGAAGCATTTAATCTTTCACATAATTTCACAAGCAATCGCTGGTGAACGACTAGGTGGATGACTGGCTTGGAGAAGTTTTGTTGAAAATTTTCTCTAAGCCGGATGACCGGCAAGATTTGATGAAACGATTGAAATGCAACATATCAGATCAAACTTTTACTCAAATTTTTATTCAAATTTGATGAAAAGTTTGAGTAAGTGTTGAGATGCTCTTGCGTGCTTTGTTTATTGGATTATATAAAAAAAAAGTAGAGTAAATTACACTTACCTTCCCTGAAGTTTCTGACAAATACAAGGATCTCTCTTGTGATTTCAATAATTATAAAAACATCTTTACTTTTGCTGGCAATATCAAAATTCTCCTAATCCGTTAATTTAGCATAAATGTTGTCACTTGATTATCCAAAATGACCATATTGCCCCTTTGAATTGAGCGAGAATAGATGAAAATTACTTAATCAACCAATAAGCCATTAAAATAAAAAATTTCATTCACCTCCCCTGATGTTTTGTATATATATTATTAAAGATCAAAGCAGATTTTACATTAACGCAATAATAGTTTAATATAAGACCCTAATAATTAATACAATACTTAAAAGACTTATAAACAATTAAAAATTTATTAATTTTAATTAATACATTTATTATTTAAATTTATTTATTTATTTATTTATTTTTAGTTGAAACAATTGGTTAATTTTTTTCCACTAATTTGTCCTACTTATTTATTCATATGTAAGAAAATTATTTATCCCTAAATTGTTAAGATATTATTAACAAATTTTAATTTTTATCTTTGAGTCATTAAATTTCTAGTCGATGCATATTTAAAAAAATGCAAGTTATTCTTACATGATTAAAAATTTAAAATATATATATATATATATATAAATAAGTAAACAAAAATCTAATCACCTCATAATAAATTAAAATTAGTTAATAGGGAATGAAAGATTAAGAAATCATTTGAAAATAATAAACAATTAAAAAAAAATTCATTTTTTTACACCTAAAATTAAAATTAATCTTTACATGAATGGAGAAATTATTTGAGAATACTAAAGTACTTAATTAATTTGTTGTATAATACTTAAAATATATTTCTCCATCTTTATTTTTCTCATTTAAACTATTTTTATATTAAATTAAATCTTAAAGTTAATTTCTCACATTCATTCATGGTTAGGTTTTTACTTTATTTTTTAATTTCTCACATTTATTTTGTTCTATTATTATTTATAGCGAAGTGTTATTATTTGAATTATTTAATTTTACTTCTTCTGTATATCTAGTACTCATATAACTTTATTGACAAAACTAAGAAATCAGACTCTAATATTAATTTAAACACGCAATGAAATAAAATACCCTCTAAAGAAGAAAATATAAATGTAATTTAATTTGTCCTATTAAATATATATGAAATTATTATTTATTTTTCATAATTTTTTAAAAATATAAATATAATTTCTTGAATCTATTTTTTTCCACAACAAGTTTTGGAATTTTTATAAAAATAAAATAAAATAAAAATTCAACCATTAATGAAGGTGAGGAATTAATTTTAAGATTTGATTTAATAAAAATAGTTTAAATGAGATAAATAAAGATGGATAAATAGATTTTAAGTATCATACATACCAAATTAATTGAGTATTTTATTGTTCTCAAATAATTTCTCTATGTAAGTAAAGATTTATTTTAATTTTAGCTATAAGAAATGACAAATTGTTTGAACTGTTTATTATCAATTTATTCTCAAATGATATTTTGATATTTCAATCCCTATTAACTAATTTTAATTAATTGTGAGGCAATTAATTTTTTTTTACTTTTATTTTTATTTTTAATTTTTTTTAATCATGTAAGAAATATTAACCTGTATTTTTTTAAATACAAATCGACTATAAGTTTAATGACTCAAAAATAAAAATAAAAATTTGAGAATAATATATGATTGAGAAAATATAAAATAATAATTTGTTTTACCTATGAATAAATAAGTAATACAAATTGTAGGTTATTTATGTATTACTTTAAATAAAGAATAAATGCATTACTTTAAATAAAGAATTTTAGGTTATTTATGTGATGTGAAATAAGATTTATATTAAATTTTTAGGATATTATCTAACATTAATTTTAGAGAGATTATATTTTTAAGTATTTTATCAATAATTTTTTTTTTTGGTATTAAATGATTTAATAATGTCTTGACAAGTTAAAGATTTTATTTAATATTGCATGAAATTTAAGAATTTTATTAAATAATGATAAAATATGTATGAATTTTTAATAATATATATGTAAAATCTCAAGAAATGTGAGTGAAATATCTCATTTGAATAAATGAACCAATTAATGGGTAATTTCGTCATTTTTTATATGACATCTGCATGACATCAGTAAAGTATGTTAAATAGCCTAATAGTGAGTAAAGTATGTTAAATAGCCTAATAGTGAGAGAATCTTGATAATAGTTTCAAAAGTAAGAGAGATTAATGTCATTATTGAAACTACGGGAGAAATTCTTGTGATTGTCAGAAACTTTAGGGGAGGTAAGTGTAATTTATTCAAAAAAAATAAGTGGAAGCTGTAAGTAGGGATTGTAGGAAGGAACTAAGGGTGGCAGTTATGGATAGAAGGTACTAACATTGGTTGTTGGTGGTGGTGAGGCAGAGGCGGATAGGCGTGAGGGGAGAAAGGAGATGAAGGTGTGACGAGGTATATGATATATGTAATTTTTCATCTCTCAAGTAGCTGAGTTAAAAAATTAAGATGTAGTTTAAGTTAAAAGGTGTTTGGGATCTAAATAAGTATAATTTTAATTTTTTACGAAAAAACATATAAAAAAATAAAGAGATAATATGACTCAGAAAATATAAAAAGATAAATATATATATATATATATATATACTTTTGTTAGAATGCCAAATAATGCCTTAGTTGATAGAGAAAAGTCAGAGGTCATGAAAATTTTTCATAAAAATGATCATAAAAAATTTATGATCCTTGGATTACCTTGATTATTGTGTGGTGTTTTATTCTAAGTGTAATTCAAGAGTCACAAATTATTTTCATTAAAGATTTTTCATGATACCTAACATTATTTCCGATTAATGTGATTTTTTATAGGTACATAGTGTTCGACGAGTTACACACATTGAACGGTTCAGATTATTAAAATGGGACCCGTGATGAACCCCACGGGAAAAAAACAAAACCGTCCAATGCTTTGTACAAAAATTAGCCAATAATTTTCAACTCCAATTGAGTCTGCCGGTTGTATGGCTGGGCCCACTCCTCTCTTATCATCTCTTACACACTTTTTTTATATAATTTTTTAATACACATTTTTTCATAAAAAGTCAAAAAATTAACCTAAACCTCCATATTTTTTTTTGTCTTTTTTAATCCAAAAAGACAAAAAATGCACTTTTTTAGGACACCCCAAACCAGAGGTGTTTGGGATCTAAATAAGTATAATTTTTATTTTTTACGGAAAAAATATATAAAAAAATAAAGAGATAATATGACTCAGAAAATATAAAAAAATAAAAATAAAAAAATATATATATACTTTTGTTAGAATGCCAAATAATGCCTTAGTGGATAGGAAAAAGTTAGGGATCATGAAAAAATTTTCATGAAAATGATCATAAAAATTTATGATCTTTGGATTACCTTGATTAATGTGTGGTGCTTTATTCTAAGTGTAATTCAAGAATCACAAAGTTTTCATAATTATTATCATTAAAGATTTTTCATGATACTTAGCATTGTTGTAGTTGATATGTCAGCTAGTTATTAGTTATCCGTAAATTTGGGGTTTCACGAATGAGCTGTGAATTAAATGCAAATTGTAGGTATACCACACTCCAGGCCTTCGTCAAACTAGATAGATGCTATTTGGTCCAGTGAGTTCATTTTTTGGTTTCAATAATATAGATGGTTTATATTTTAGGTTTCGTTGAAATATCATTATTATAAAATAATTAAATCAATCGGATAATAAAAATCACATATTCGGATTAATTTTGTATAAAATAAAAATAAAAATAAACAATTCATATAAAATTGATCTGAACACGTATTTTTTGTTATACGATCGACTTATTCTTTTGTAAGAATAATATACTCAATAAATTTTAAATGAGTAATGATTCATCCCCCTTTTTCCCCCACCCCTTTGACCCCCTCTCTCTCTCATTGGTTATCTTTTCTTTTTCTTTTTCTTTTTTTTCCTGCTCCACCAATCACCCCCTGCCACGTGGCAAAGGGGGGTGAGGGGGTGACCCCCAAAAGGAGGTCCCAAGCATTATTCATTTTAAAATATGAACTATTTACATTATCAAAATATGATCCAAAAATCAACTTGATAGACCGATGGACTCAGTCCGATGAAAAACGAGAAATATGTATATACATGCTATATGAATGTAATTCCATTCCAATGTTGCTTGTCCAATAGCATAAGGTCATTCTGGCAGTTCAACACGATTATTGATCAACAAAAGCAGTCATGATTGTTCGAATGTTTTTTTTTTTCCCCTTTAAATCTCCCTCCACTTGTTGACTTTTTTTTTTGTTTTTTTCCTTTCTCATAATAAAAAATAGGAATTAATTGTTCATATTAAAATTTAATAGAATTCAATAATAATTCTAAAAGTAAAATAGGACTTAATATATACACGCT